AAAGTGGTCGTGAATTTAGGTTAGCTTACAAATGAAATTCATTCATTCGGTTTTGAATTGCTAATAGTTGGAATATCGGAATATTTTCAGCGTTTTCGGTTGGTCTTCGGAATCAGCGCTACTGAATCCGTAATGCCTTAAAACATTTAATAAAAAATTGCTTAAAATGTTATAATTATAATGAAAGGAGAGGTAATTTTCAAATTTCGACCTTATACATATATCATTTAGTAGTTTTGTTTAAAGATTTGCGTCTGATCCATAGGCAACCAACACGTCGTTACTTCATGGGCTAACTCTAATAATCTCAGAATAAATGGGTTGGTGTTATTGTTTTTAGCATTGGAAATGCTATGTTTTGTATGGGTCTAAAGCTTTGATTATAGGTCTGAAGTTACTGGTTAGTCGAGCAGAAAAGAAGACAATTGGTGTCGCATCAAGTGATGATTGTCCTGTACTCGACTGCAATCGGTAGATTCAGGACAAGTCGCGGATACTGCCGACACGGTACTTACTTAACAGTGCGCAAGGGTTTTGTTAATTCGAATATAAATTTATCGCACATCGCCTTGATGGTATTACACGCATGTTATTTAGATACGTTTGCGACACGAGCGAGGTTGTGGAGCAAGTGATACCGTATGAATAAGGGTTACTTGTGTTTTACATATGGCGTAGTACGGTTATTATTTCCAATGCTTCCGATGGTTGTAAGGATTGCGAAATCTGTGAATTTTTAGTATATTAAAGCATTAAGGTACGCAAATTACAATTCCCCTAACAAATATTCAATCTAACCCCTGAAGTCAAAAAGGGAAAGAAATGAATTAAAAAGGAATTTTTTCGCAATTGAATCTCGTAATTGACTCATTGAAATTTCTAAACTGCGGATATGTGACATCCCTAACATTTTTTTTGCAAATATGGCATTTTCGTATTCTACTAATTCGAAATTTGAACTTGAATTTTATATTTTATGTACGTTAAGTATGCTTAGACTGAAACTGAAGGCAGTTCATAACTAACGGTAAATTAGTTAGTTTTACAGACCTGGAGAGAATCCTTCGGGATAAAATACTGTTTCCATTCCATTATGGTGGTCCCTGTTTGGCAGACCTAACCTTGGTGGCGCATTGATCTTTCCGAGACCCCTAATATTGGCAGCTGACCATTGCAAAACAAAATGGAGGAGGGTGGAAACTCTGATGTGAATTTTGATTTTGACAATATTTAGGTTACGGTAGTCGTTGATTATTTAAAACATTGTATTTGCTTTCGATTCCTATGTATCAAAACGCTAGGATATGTAAGCGATAGCTGTGTTGGAGTATCACGGGTAGCTTATAGACCGAGAAAAAACGACAGATTTTGTACGATGAATAGTAAACGTCTGTCATCACAATTTTCTCTTCATATAACTAAAATCATCAGACTACCGAAAGACACTACAATAGTAGACATGCTGTTTTTCATGATGGACCAACCGCGGCTGTTATTATTTTATATTTTATAATGCGTCGTGTTTCATTTGTTTAATTTTCCTAAAAGTGTAAGGTGCTTTTCCAAACAAACTTTCGCGCCATCGACAAATGCCGGAAATACGTCAAAAGTAAATATAATTTAAGTATTTATTATTTTCAGTATTTATTAATTAATTAAGATAGATACTTTTATTCTTTACCAGAGAGGTGTTGAATAATTCAAAAAATTTACAAACATTATAAACAAGCGGCCTCATTTTCTCATTTTCCCAAAATTTGAAGTTAGGAACGAGATGTTGAAAAACGGTTTTCACTGGCCTCTATGAATGTTATTTGGCTACTTTTTCATAAAGAAAAAGTCATATCATTTCATTTGATCATGGTGTCAAAATTAGCCCCCTGGCGGAGAAGGATTCAACTAAATTAACTATATTTTGGTTGATTCAATTGAATGGTGAATTGAAATAACTGAGTTTTTTTTACGAAAATGAGAACCAAATGAGAACCAGTTGATTCTCTTTAAAAATTTCAGAGCAGGCACCCTTCACAAAATGTTCTGAAAGAAGTAATCTAGTCACACATACAAAATTGTACTGAAGCGGACGAATGAACAGACAGAAAGTCCAAAATCATGAACTCGCTTAGGAGTTCGTCCATAAATCAGTTAATTGTTCTAATAATGGCATTGTAAAAAACGTATATTTTAAATCCAATTCGAATATTTATAAGTGGGCGAACAAAGTTCTCACATACAATGTGCATTAATTTGAAAAGCTGGAGATTTTTCATTAAATATGCAAACGAAAAAGTAAAGGTGAACGAACTAGGAAAATTGCTTCGAGCTAACGTAAGCTTTTAAAATTGATTTTTTGCTAAATCGAACAGAAAAGCGGAATTTTCAATAACGTAGGTATTGGCAATGCGATGTTCAAAGTATTAAAATTTATGCATGCTTGAGGATTATGATTTGCAAAAATCCTATAAAATTATATCGCAGGTTTAGATGTGGACTCTTTAAACTGTTTATAGCATACAAATATAGTAATCCGAACACGTAACCACTAGGTTTTATTGAATCCGTGTAAATCACATTGATAACAAGCTGCGAGAGAATTACGTAAACGAACATTATTAACTTATTCATAGAGGAACGCATCTACAGACACATACATTTTCATTAAAATTCAAGCTCAGCAATTTTTTTGTGGGCTGTCTAATTAGAGCCAAGTAAAACCTTTAAGGGAACAGAGTACAAAAGTTTAATGCTTATTTGTCCGATACACTTAATAGAAATTGTATGTTACAATAAGCCATTTTTAGCTAACATCAACGAACGTACATTACATTACAATACATAGATATATAAATACATAGATACAGCCATACCCCAACATAGTTCAAAAGGACGTACCATCTATTACCATCACTTTCGGCACATTAATTACGTATAGCGCTATCCTTTATAGAGGTACCCTGAGCATGGAAGACAAGATTCGCATTATTTATTATAACTGTCAATCAAATTGTTACCACAAATCGCACAGAAAATTATCATATTTGAGACTTTACAACATAAATAAACCGCCTTTTTATTTATTTAAATCGCATAGCAGCAAGAAATGTTACATTTAAAATGGAAGATGTTACTTAGAAAGCTGGCAAATGAAGAATTTGAAAAAATTACAGCTGACAACTGGAAGAAAGTGTGTGAACATGTGGAAAGTGATTAATTTAAAAGAGAAGTTATATTGGTTGATGTTTCGGAACTTTAAAATAAGTGTTAATAATGACACGTGATTATTCGGATTGTGAACTTTTACAAACGTAATGAATGTTCACTAAATGAGTATTATCACATTGGATATCATTGTTAAGATGTTGTATTTATTTTAAATAAATGTACACGTGTAGCTTACTTACTACAATTAGCACTATAATTTCAAAAAGAAACCCCACCGATTGGACATATGTCGAAAGGTAGGCAAGACGCGTAGCGACCAAAATTTGATATTGCACGCACACACAGTCTATAAATCTCGTTTTCCTAAGAATATTGCACGGATCCTTCTTTGTGATCATGATACAAACGCACTGCATCAACATCATATAGGCCAAAATGATAATTGGAAACGAATTCACTTCCTGTCGCAACGTAATCTCCGTTACCATTACGCCTAAAACCATGCAATTAAAATGTTGAACATAATCTTTACTTACTTACGGTTTTTTTTGATATTCTGCAAGCCAGCAATGAATTCACTGCAGCACATCATGCCAAACAAGGTAAACATAGTCCCAAATTTGAATGGCGTAGCTCTATGTAATAAAACTATTTCAGGAATAACAATTATGGACGCGTCTATCATTATGGCAAGCACTAATCTTATTCGTATTCAATTGATAACGCAATAATTACATAATATTTAGTGAAAAAACCGCCCATCATGTTTAGGGCGAATATTTTTAGTTAGATTTGATTTCGCGCGATCGTGAAATGTGTCAACTGTCACATGACTTATGAGACGCGCTAAGTTTGTTTTAAGCGTCCGATTCGCGTACGACATAGTGGTTAATGCAATAAAAAGAGATAGAACATGTTTCTTCTTAGTTAGAAAGTAATGGAGAGATGTACAAATTTCTTTGATATGTTTTTTAAAAACCGAGGTACGTTTGTTAAGGATGGCTGTATCTAGGTATTTATATATCTATGTTACAATATGAACATAAGCGACATCTATGATACCTATAATAACCATAACGTCAATGTTTTAAATCTGATTATACAAGATGCTTCAACAACCTTTACTGAGAGAAAATCATATAAAATTTAGTATTGACTGTTGATAGCATGAAACCCAATACATTGAAGACCCGTCTATAACAGTGTGAAATTATGTGAGAGTATTAGTTCCGAGCAGCTATCTAAAGCTAGCTAAATATAAGGACCTTGTCACAGATAATTACTTATTCGTTCCCTTTGCTGTCGAAACTCTTGGACCATGGTGTGATGAAGCAATATCATTCATTGAAGCTATAGGAGCGTTAATTAAACTTAAAACCTACGACAGTCGTTCAACATTATTCCTAAAACAGAAAATGAGTATTGCAATTCAAAGAGAGAATGCAAGTTGCATTATGGGAACTTTCAACAATTCTTTAAAGCTAGAAGAGATTTTTTATTTACTTTGAATAGTGTTATTGCAATTATTTGTGAAATGCGTTTTAAATTAAAATAAATTATATCGTTTTATTAAAATTATTAGGAAATACAGACGATTACCTTTTTCTTTCCAAAGAGAACCTGGTGAGGTGTTTCAATGTCCAAAGCAGAATATGGTTTGTACTTTGTACAATCCGTTGTGATTCCGGAAAGTTCGAACTTGTAGCTTGCCGGTCAAGCTTTTTAGTAATTTTTTACGACAGATTATTATTATTAAAAGATGGTTGCAGCTATTATTCACCCTTGTTTACCGATTGTCGTCATTGGCATGGCTGTTTGCATTTGTGTGGTGCGGTGAGTGGAAAAGAGTACTAATGGCATTATAATAAACTAAATAAAATACGACCAAGCATTCGTTTATTATTAATTTTGGACAAAACACGAATGATACTAATTAAGTAGTTCCTATTGAACAGAGGATGGCATAGATTGTACAATGTACATGCACCTTTTTGCTGGTCTCCTATTTGTAAAAACTCGAAAACATTCTGTGACTAATTAAAAAAAACATGCATTCGTTTCTACAGAGTAACCAAGTTAATCAAATTAAAAATGTAAAAGAATTTAAATGTAAAAGAATTTTTAATGCGTATCTATCGAAAAACTTCTCACAATCTAAAAAATCAGTTGGATTAAAAATTAATTTCTTAAAAAAACTTCTACGATAACAGAGATACATCAACATCGAAAATACGAAACGCCAAAATGATGGATTAGCAAACATAGCATTATTTAAATTTACAAGGCAGCTGTTGCCTCCAGAACTCCTGCCGTGTATTTAAAAAGTCAACGGCGTCTTTAATGTAGCCAACAACAGTAGAATCGTCTTCATTAATTTTGCATTTCACATCCGGTCTATTTAACAAGCTATCCAAGTATTCCTTGTCCGTTCTAAGTTCCCGTAACAGCTTACTACTCTGATTCGCAGTTACTGGTCTGGGCATCGGTGTATGCCCATGAGTCGATTTCGGCGTATCTTTTACAATTGCAGGCTCGGGCGTATGTTTTACCGATGAAAATTTCGACGAGACCGTTGTAGCCGTACCTTTCGATTTACCCTTGCCCGAACTCTTCGAGGTAGAGCTTAAGCCGGGCGATTTCTTTCGAGCGAGCATCGCTCCGCCCAGCGCATTTTCGATGGCTTTTTGCGCCTTACCAATTCCTAATTGAAAGCCGTCGTAGTCGGGCCGAATACGCAAGCCTCGATAGTGGTACATTAGGCTGTGTTCAAAATCTCCAAGGTAGTAAAGAGATTCAGCTTTCTGGTAGATGCCTTTCATAAAATTCTTATCGACGGCCAGTGCAGCTTCCGCGTCTTTTAAACCACTCTCAGGTTGTCCCAGTAGTAGATAACATTTACTTCTTGCCACAAGACAGTTTTTGTCACTTGGGTTCAATTCCAGAGCCTAAAACAAAGCGCAATTAGTGTATGTTGTCAATTTGTTAGATCTATAGAATTCATATGTCTGAACCCGAGTAATTCCTATATCCATATTAACAAGATAATTAAAAAGCACCCTCACTGTCAAGTTTTTGAACTATGTCGCATATCCTGAACCTTCCAAAATCGAAATAAATATTGTGTATATCTGTTTGATCAATTTCATGTAATGATTTGCTTTCAACAGGAAGATATTAAGTGTAGAACTCGACATAACCAAACGCTAATAAACCAAAATATAAACGGAAACATTTCTTTTACCTTATTGAGAAACTGTAAAGCGATAGCTTCTTCTCCTTGACCCATTTCAAAGTTAGCAAGTGCTAAAAACGTAGTAGGTACAGCTTCTTCGGAAATTTGCAAATTTTTCGATCGATCTTGCCTTCGTTTAATTTTCAACGACTGTTTTATATCTCTGGTCCCCATATTAACCGCAGCGGCTCGATCTTTATCTGTATATAACTCTTCCGGTTTTGTTCTCTTTCGCCTTCTTCTCCTCATTTTTAGTTCCTCTTTCATCATTTTTTGCTTCTTCTTTTGGTCCGTGTCGGATTTCTCCGCATCTTCGGTCGATTTCTCACTTTGCTGTTTTACATCTTCGGCCTTTCCCGAGGGCACACTTAATTTTCTTTCCTCTACATGACTTTGTCTTCTCTCAGTGAACTTGAACTCGACATGCTTTTCCTCCTTCTTCTTGCCACTGTAATTAGCTCCACGCGGTTCCGATTTCTTTACGAGTAGCGATTTTAAGGGACTTTTTTGATCGCCGTCAACATCTTTATCTGTTTGATCGACGTTTGTAAGAAGAAAGCTATGCAAAACCTCTGTATCTCGATTTATGTCTAATATTCTGCAAGTACTTATTGTGCGATTGAGCATTGTGCGTTTTAATTCAAATTAACACGTACCCTTAACGTAACTATTACCTACACTTTCTTAACTTTATATTAAACAAAAAATTCGTCAGGATTTATTTTTACTTGCTGTGCTCGGTGTAATTGTGATAAAATTTACACTTTTATTGTGTTTCCATGGCTACCTTGGTGTGATCAATTGAATACAGCGGCACTTATAGAATTCTCACCTCATACCGTCACCTTTTGGTGTTAGCGTGGCCTTGTTGGAGAGATGGCGTTAAAGTGATACAATTCTGACACTGCAATTTTTATTAATTTCCTTAAATATTTTGTACATCCGGCCTAGAATATCATTTATAGATTATATAGTATTCAAGTTCCGGGATTGCATATTTAGGTTTCTACTTTATTTATTGCCTGTATTCAATAGGACAGAAATTTCCACACAGGTACTCCTTTTCCATTTACGTTGATGAACTTTGGTAAGTTTAAAAATCAAACAATATAAAGTATATACAAAATGAAACATGCAGCAATTGATCTTTTTTAAAAGAATTGTGACTGAAAATCTAAAAGTGATTGATTAATGAGTTAATAATGTTATAGTTCTTATCCTTCGTCTGTTAAAATAGTACCTTTTAAGGTTCAACCCATGGTACAAACGCGCAGATGATATTGTCTAAGTTTCAATGCGTAACTAGGGTAACGATATTAGAAACTATAGTAAGAACGCTGCAAATACAGTAGCAAAAAACCTTCTACTACTTTTCGTAAGTTTAACTGAGTTTCATTATAAGAAAAATGTATTATGGTTGTAACACCTCCATTAGCCTTCTTGGCACTTATCCCAACGGTGGTTCCTTGAAGGAACCTTTCGGAACCCTGATAAAATGGGCGTTGCCCGTTAGGATTGAAACGATTGCAGGATACCATCTGATACCGTAATGAAACATTTTAATTTTCGCCAATCAGCCTGTCATAGCAAACAGTATCGAAAGAAAAAACCACAAATAAGTTGGCCGTTGAAAACCGGCGATCAACAGCCCTTACAGCTGCAGCTATATACTCACATAAAGCGGTGTCGGTCAATCTATTATTCTTCATAAAACCATGCTGATGGGTATGAATGATAAAGAATTGTTAAATAATTCATTAATTGCTTTGGAGAAACTTGAAAGCAAAGCCTGGAGTTGATAACGTCACTTGGGTCTCCTTTTTGGAACAGGAGCTTCACAATCGCAGCTTTCAAACGACTGGGTAAAACACCGGGTGGATAACTTAAATTACTTATGTAACAATAATGGTTTACCAAGTAAATCGTTGACTAAGTTTAATAATCTATTACTTATTTCAGCTAGAAAGGATAATTTCATCGATCGGATCGCAATAAAAATATCGTCTTCAACGAGAGGAGCGAGGAGTGAGGAGTTCTGTGTGAGAAAGGTTTTTTTTTTATTTTTACAAGTTAATTTGGCGGCACTGCTATAAAAAGGGAAAAATGAGAGGTATACATGTCAATAGCTTGTGAGTCAGGTGCCATAACTCCATAGTATGTAAGATTAGAATGTAAGGAATAGTATTGTAGAAGTAGGCAATAAACTCGAGTGGTTGAGAGAAAGCGTTTTTCCTTCGGAATCCAGGCGAGACCATCCACATATGACATAGGGATTAATCCCGTAACTTCTCGGACCGAGAATGCGAATGAATCGAGTGGACCTTGTGTGCAGTTTTGTTACAATTCGCGCCGCTTAGGTTATACTATATTAAGTATGGAGAACGGTAAGGGATTTTCACTGTTCGAAGACAATTGTTTGGAGGAGGAGCGAAGCGACGACTCCAAGTATTGTCTGAGAACGGTAACCCTTAACGTTCGACGTGCTTATAACATTTTTTGCGCGATCGAAATTAAAATTATGCAACCAATATTAGTCCAGTAACTTTGTTCCTAAAAATGGGGGGACAAGCGTCAAATCCGGTAGTTCTGATTTTTTGTGGGATTGCTTATGTTGTTAACCCAATGTATAATTCAAGTTTTCGACCTCGGCTAAAAACCGAGGAATTTTCGTTTTCTTTTCAGATTTTGACGAGATCAACCCTGAAGGACCAGTTTGTCGAAAAACTAATGAATACGGTTTGAAAGTAGATTAAATTGTTTACAATTTGAGGCTACAACCGTTTCTATAGACGTAATGGTTTACGAGATAATGCTTTTCAAAGTTTATCGATTTTTTCAAAGTCGAAAATTGTTAGCACTATTTTGTTGTTCTGTAATTCAAAATTCAAAGGGCTGTAACTTTTGAAATAGTAGCCTAGCCTAATCTTCGAACTGTTTGAAATTATGGATTCTGCGGACCACATTCTATAAGAAAATTTTTTTTCCGGGTCGATCTGAGACAATTTTTTTTTCGGGGCTCAAAAAAAGGCAGTGTATAACCTTCCTTTTTTACCAAAAATCGAATGCACCAAAATTTCTCGGGAAAACACTTTTTCTTATTAATTTTCGTGCGTAGAATCCAAAACAATTCGTACTTTTTCGATCGGACTTCTCAATCAAAAGTTATGGACTGGAAACCAATTTGGAAAGAAAATTCAAAGGGCTGTAACTTTAGTAGCCCAATCTTGGAACTGTTTGAAATTATGGATTCTATGGGCCACATTCACTACCGGATTTGACGCATGGTCTGATGTATACAGGGTGGTGCCTAGCGCAACGCAGCATAGGGATTTCAATGTTAATTTCTTTATAGTCAATTACTAGCTCCCCTAATTATTTTAGAGCAAAAGTCTAAATAATTTTTTTTTTAGAGAAAAAAATACTGCATGTGTTCATACTTTTAGTTACAATTTTCCATTTTTCAAAACCGTAGAAATCGACAAAATAAAAAATTACATTTTTATAAATCAGTGATGCTTTGGAATCTTTTAACAAACTACAAGGGCATCGCATGTAAGTTATCGTTGTTTGACGTCGAACGATATTTAATTCTGTTACAACTATCCGATGCAAGAAAAGGCGGCAATTGGGTAATGTTTTTTTAGAGAATGTATGCTGCATTTGCATCAGATACTATTTGTTTATCAGAGAGAATCAGAGTACCTACATAATCGAAGGAAAAAACTGATTTGACAAACTTATATTCGGATTTTCCACTACTGCAGTCAAAACGTTGAATGTATTGTCGTTTTCCTAATGGTTTTGAGGGACATTTTGAACGTTATTGCACTTGCAGTTCTTTAACTAATTTATAAACAAGTACAAATTTAATATACGGCAAAGGCAAATAATGAAACGTGATCGCTGTTTTTTTAGGTAATTCCAAGGCATATTTGATTTATTGTAAAATGAAAATTTTTATTTTGTCGATTTCTACGGTTTTGAAAAACGGAAAATTATGAGTAATAGCATGAACAGATTCAGTATTTTTTTCGCTAAAAGAAACTTATTTAGACTTTTGCTCTAAAATAATTAGGGGAGCTAGTAATTGACTATAAAGAAATTACCATTGAAATCCCTATGCTGCGTCGCGCTAGGCACCACCCGGTATAGTTACTGCACTATATAAATATGCACTAAGACGAGCAGAATAAATCGAAATGATCGAAGTGGTATGGTGTACATCACTAGGCAACCAGTTTATTTGTCAAAACTGAAATAGATAATTTCATAAAATTATGCATGTCTGATGTAGTTTGCTAGCTTTGCACTTCGGTTATGATTTTATGAGCGAGGTATTCGCCGGTGGCCAAATGGTATGTCGAAGATTCTTTTACAGAACAAAATTGTAATTGAAATGTGTTAAGAAAAACGAAAGCACATCTTCAAACACATTGATGGTGAAGAACGTGTTCTTTCTATAGGAAACAACAGCACAAATTGTACGTTTAATGTAACAATAATTAAAGATTAAATGTAATGTTAAGACTGTTGATTTTGAACCGATTGTTTTTAAAAAGGCGTCGGTAAGTATTTTTGCTGTTCTGTTTTTAGATCGGTAAGTAATTTTGGCGTCGTCGTAATCATAGCAACTGGTAAATTCTACGTACTGTCATGGAAACACACATGGTAAATAGTCAGAATTGACCGATCGCGCGAAAATAATATTAATGGCCGTTTGCACCGACAAATTTAAGCGGCGCTTAGCTTAAGCGTAGCTTAAAATCCATGACAACCATTGTCTCAATAATCGTTGCCTAGGATTACGCTTAAGCTAAGCTCCACTTAAATTTGTCGGTGCAAACGGCCATAAGAGGTATTAACTAAGTCTCTTTTCGAATAGCAAATATCCCTCTTCAACAAGTGAATTCATCTGTAGCGAGTTCGCAAATATCTGAAGTTCTTTCCATTGAAGATTTCTACTATTCTGAATCGCAAGGGCAGGAACAAATTTCGGACGAACATGCTTTTGATATGGAACCGGCGACGCCAGCAAGCGCGCGAGACAATACATGATGTACGTTTCCATCGTATTGCTCTGCAGTCTCTCATTACCAAACCGTTTTATGATAAGTAGGGATTAAGGTGGGCTAGATTAAGGAATCCTATTTGTGCTTATTTATGACTAAATGGAGAAGTATTATGCCCGTTTGCACCGGTTTGGCTTAAGGGTTTCGTTTAACTAAGCCCGCTTAATATTTAAGCTTTGTTTAAATTTAATATCTTTGCACCAGCATTCGCTTAATTAAGCGAAATAATTAATAAGTAAACTATTGACAACACTGCTAAATTTGCTCTAAAGGATTGCTGCGATTTCTTTATAATGTCTAACTGACTTTTGATAATATTATATTTCCCAATTCACATTTCGTTTTGCATTACTGCTACGAACCGTGCTGTTATATAATGGTGAAAAATAAAAAGCTTAGCTTAGTTTAAAGCGTTTTATTAAAACATTTAACATCGGTTTCGTGATGGAAAATTTTAAACGGAAGCGCAATCCCAACTTTATTATTTTATTTTATATTATTTTCATTTAAGTAATCATCTATAAATGCTCTTCGTAAGAGGTTTCCTGCTCCTATAGGCTCTGGTTCATTGTGTCTGTTTTGTATATCTCGTATTTGCCCATCTTGAATCAGTTGGTCTAACACGTGTACATCTACTTCATCTGGTGGCTCTCTGTCACCCATTTCCATTGCAATGTTATGTAAAATAGAAGTTGCAACTATTACCGTTGTGATTGTTGTTAATTTTAAACGACATCCATATGCCAAAATCGGAAACCTTCTCTTAAGAACGCCAAAGCAACGTTCTATGGCATTCCGAGT